AAATAAAGTTGGTTTTATCCAAGACAAAATGGGGCATTAAGGTCATAATTCTGACTACGACAAGAGTTCCACAAATAAAACAATTCTTCTGAGACTTTCATGAAGCAAAGAATACATAAAGATACAAGTTGATCAGATAGTTCTTCAGAAATGCAAGCTTGATAGCATAAGTTGCTACACTGATATCCAGAGGTAACCCTGGCAATAAATGATGAAGTGGAGGAAAACCGAGTTCACCATTTTGAAGTCAAATGAAGATTGCATTAACATTCATGCATCATATTTAGACATTTGCAAAATAGGAGCATTTTCATTCATTTTATCCATGTTGAATATTTGACAGGAATTTCAAAATTTTAGCAAAGATTCAAATCCATCATATGATGGATCAACTTTTCGCTTGAATTCATCATTCGATGATTCAGTATTTCCAGTTCGAGTTCATAATGAGAAGAACTCATCTGAAGAAGGAAGAAGAAGTTCATAATGAGAAGAACTTGTTCAACTTTTCGCTTGAATTCATCATTCGATGATTCAGTATTTCCAGTTCGAGTTCATAATGAGAAGAACTCATCTGAAGAAGGAAGAAGAAGTTCATAATGAGAAGAATTTGTTCAACCTTTTACTTGAATCCATCATTTGCTGGATCAGCCTTTCCAGGTAGAGTTCATAATGAGAAGAACTCATCTGAAGAAGGAAGAAGAAATTCATAATGAGAAGAATTTGTTCAACCTTTTTGTTTGAATTCATCACTTGATGGATTATTGTTGCCAGAGAAGTTCATAATGAGAAGAACTCATCTGAAGAAGGAAGAAGAAGTTCATAATGAGAAGAATTTGTTCAACCTTTTTTCTGAATTCATCACTTGATGGATTATTTTTGCCAGAGGTAGAGTTCATAATGAGAAGAACTCGTCATCTGAAGAAGGAAGAAGAAGTTCATAATGAGAAGAATTTGTTCAACCTTTTGTCTGAATTCATCACTTGATGGATTATTTTTGCCAGAGAAGTTCATAATGAGAAGAACTCATCTGAAGAAGGAAGAAGAAGTTCATAATAAGAAGAATTTGTTCAACTTTTTGCATAATTCTATCACAGAAGGAGATAGATTAGCATCAGCCTTTCTAGAGAAAGTTCATAATGAGAAGAACTCATCAAGAGCTTATTCAACTTTTTGAATGACTCTATCACAGGAAATAGGTCAACATCATCCCCAGCGGAAAGTTCATAATGAGAAGAACTCTTCTGAAGAAAGAGAAGAATTTATTCAACATCTCCATATTAATCAAGTGAAGAAGAGATTGATACAATCCACAAGAATGAAAATTATCTTGAGATTAGGCCATGTTACCCAATCAACATGTTATTTCAAAAACATAATGAGAAAACGATTTCCATAGTTTCTCATTCAATCTTTTCTGAAAATGAAATCGTTGAATAGTAAGAAAACAATTTCCATATTTTCTTACTTAGTAAACTATTTCCCACATCTGTAAGTCCTTCAGTGCATGATGTTTCCAAAAAGCCTTCAGGAGCTTTTTAATGTTTTCAAAACCTTCGGGTCATCTGTAAGTCCTTCAGTGCATGATGTTTTCAAACATTTCTATCCTGCTCGAAAGAAGCCAAATGAAAAAATTATTGTCTTTTTCGTCTTTGCTCTATTCTTGTTAACACAAGGATGAGCAAAGAGGGGCAGCTGTAGACATCATTTTTTCATTTAAATTTATTATTATTATTAAAAATTATTATTATTAGTATTATTATTATTATTATAATTATTATTATTATTATCATTATTTATTATTATTATTATCAATATTATATATTATTATTATTTAATAAATAATTACAACTGGACCGGCCCAGTTACAAACCAACCAGAACCGGTCCAGACAACCAGAAACCCTAAACGATTAGTAAGGTTTCAGCTAGGGTTTCTAAACCCTAGCCACCCCCAGCCGCCTCTGATGCTTCCAGAATCCCAGCCGCCTCTGATGCTTCCAGAATCCCAGCCGCCTCTGATGCTTCAAGAATCCCAGCCGCCGCCTCACTGCCAGGTGGTCCAATGCCCCACTGCCGACGCCTCCACCGCCATTGCCGACACTCCATAACGTCGAGAAGCTACCCACGTTGAGCCCTATGGTGAGTCACCACCATAGCTATGGTGACTCACCGGGCCTTTCATCTCTGGAACCGGTCCAACGAGAGCCTCGGTGGTGGCTATAAAAGCCACCCCACCTGCAAGAAAGAAAAAGGACAGCCACAGACGGCAGAGAACGACAAGAAAAAAAAAACAGAAAAGAAAAAAAACAGAGAAAGAGAACACAGCAACCAACAAAGCAAGAACTACACCAACGATCCCAGGAAATACAAACCAAAAGAAGAGAAAAAGAGACTTACCGAGAAAATCGCCGTCGTGAGAGCCTCCACAAATCATCAGAGAACCAAAACGTCGAAGAGAAATATCCTAGATCTACGACGATTGGTAAGGTTTTAAGCTAAAATAACCTTAGATCTAGATATAGAAAAACAGAGGCTTTGATTTGGGGTGGGTTTTGTAATTTCCGGCCACCGCTGACGGTGGCCGGCGACAGCAATCGGAGCCCGACAGCGGTGGCTGACCGGGCCGGCTTCTCTCTAATTTTAGAGAGAAGCCAGAGAGAAATCTTCTTCTCTCTGTTAGAGAGAAGAAGAGAAATGAAGAAATGAATGGTTGGCCCGAAGGGCCAACCGGTTTGGGGTTTATAAACCCTCTTCCATACGACGTCGTTTAAGGGGGAGGGGTATCTGTGTAATTAACTAAAGGTTAAACCCTTTCAGTAGCCATCTAAACTTGTAACTCTTACATTCTAGTCACTAAATCAAATTTATAATCCTTTTAATTCGGTCCTTTAATTTTAGATTTATTTATTTTAGTCCTTTCTATTAAATAATATATTTAGGATAAATACGTATTTAGTCCTTTAGTTTTAATAAATAATATTTTAATCCCGAGTATATATTTTTAATTTATTTTAAATCTGATATTGAATTTTTTTTATTTTTATTTTAGTCATCAAATTAATAAATAAGGAAAATAGCATTTTTAATCCCTATAATTTTAAATAATTAATTATAAATTAGGTATTTAATTTTATTATATTATAATTTAGTCCCTAAGTTAAATATTTTCATTTATTTTACGAGCTTTATTATTTTTTAATTGTATTTTAAATATTATTTAATCATATGTTACCTTTTTTTTTATGTTCATACATATTTAATTATCATTACTATTATTATTATTATTCTTTATTAATTATGTCAATATATATAGTCTTATAAATATATATAATATTTATTTATTCTATTTTCCTATTTATAAATTTAATTTTATAAATTACTTTTAAGAAAAATAATTATATTTTGATATTTATTTATTTTTAATATCAAAGAAAAAAGTTGTCTTAAGGTACCTAGAAGCTCTTTTCTGATATTTTTTTTGAATAAATAAATATCTTACTATATTAAAATAAAATGTTTTTTATTTATTTTTAAATATTAAATAAAAGAGCTGTCTTAAAGCACCTAGAAGCACTTTTCTGATATTTCTAAATAAGTAAATATATTATTTATGTATATTAATATATTTTCTTTAAAATTTTGAAATAGTAGAATTATAAATTAAATATATTTTTGAATTTTTAAAATTTTAATAATAGAGACAATTTATAGTTAATAAAGTACCAATTTTGGGCGTTGTAGGGATGCTAATCCTTCCCTAAACGTAACCGACCACGAATCCCTTTTTATTATTAAAAAGAACGAATTTTTGGTTAAAACGCAGATCAGTTTATCTTTTAATTGATGTTTTCTTAAAAACTCTTTTAAAAGATATTTTTTAGGTATTCGACCTACCTGATCCAAAAGGCCGATGGCGACTCCCAAATTATTTTCAAAACCATTTATTCATATCACTTTTCCCGTCAAGTTAAATATTTCGTGCCCGGACGAAAACCGGTTACAACAGCATGTATAACATCGAGACTTCAAACTGTAAAACCAGGTTAACCATCAACTGATTGCTGTTGTAAAGGCCCTGCTTGTGGATTGTATGCAAGGACAAAAGCTTGAAATAGTTATTGTTTTCGCAGGCACATTCAATTCCATAGGTAAAGCAGAGTTGCAAGATGCTGGCAAAGCTGGTTTGGTGACAATTCAAGGCAAGATTTCGTCCGTGCTCGGAACCGTGCTCATCTGTAAGTAATTCAATAGCCATAAAGGAAACTTTTGTCCAAATAACTGTGACTCGTATCTTCCACTTCCTTTTGTTCTTTTAATGTGATAATCTCATTAATGGCGCAGGTGCTTATTTGTTTATAACATTGTTCCCGGACCAAGCGGAGAAGCTATTGAGATGAGTCCAGTAGGTAGCCCTTGCAGGAGAAACCCAAAAATTTTGTAGTTTCCACGGTGGCAATTCCAAAAAGGAATCCTAAGTGTAATTCATGTTGTATATTTTATTTTGTTAAATTCTTTGCTTTAAAGATAATTCAACGTTGAGCATTTAGTCTGGGCCAGTATGTTCCGTTCTAATATGCAATGAGATTGGGGGCACCTTTAGATGGGCTATGAGGATGACTCCTATTCTTAAATCAACATCTTCCTTATCATTCAGTTTAGTCTATGTTTTAGTATTCATCTCATTCTATCTGGTTTAAAATACCCATGTCAAACCATTGAGTGATCTTAATAATAAAAGTAAATGTTATTATTTTTTCACGATCTGGGCTCAAATAATTGTATTTACATAGTGTATGTATCTTGTCAATAGGTTCAAAAAATTCTAAATAGATAAATGCGCCGTACTATTCTCAAAGTAAAAGTAAGTACCCTCTTAAAAAAGCAAAAGAGAAAACTGCATTTTTGAAGGAAACATATTCCTTTGCTAAGACATCTGATAACAATTTCAGAAATTTACATTTCAATTATTCACACTGATAATAATGGTAGAAGCAAATCTCACACAAACAAAACTATTTTTTATTATTCTACCCATAATTACTAATCCAAACACAAATTCAATAATTACAGTAACAGAACCAAACAAAACGCTTACTTGTAATTTCAGGAAGTAGCTCCTTTCTGTCCCTTGTTCAGGTCCTCGTTCCCATCCCCTTCCATGGATTTCTTCTCCATCATTCTTCTCTCCGTTTTCCCATTTCTTTCAATCTCTCTGTGTTTCCCGCTGTTCAAATCCTCGAAAAATTCGCCCTTGATTTCTCGTCTCAGATCATCCACAGCTCTCTTCAGTGACTCATTGTCAGCTTCCAATGCTCTCAACTGCATCTTCAACAGAAACCCAGAATCTTCAATCTTAACAGTCTTGATAGGATCCACCTTGTTGGCTGTGGATGTAGCCTGCTTCGAATCAACGCTTTCCAAGTGTTCAATCACAATCTTATCCATCACCAAAAACGGAACTTTCCTAACCGAAATCCCAGCCGCCGGATAACCCAATTCACCGACGCCGCTCTTCATATCCGATGGAATCCTCATTCCCCATCGGAATTTCACCATTGCTTTTCCCTTCAACGGCACCGCCGTGTTGGCTGTCAGCTCCATTCCGGACAGAATCCCAGCGATATCCCCCGAATTCAACGTCGACAATTGCTTCTTCTCGGCGAAGAATCCGGCGTAGCCACCATTAACGACGGGCGAATCAACCACCTCAATCGACTCGTCCAAAACGACGCCGTTCTTAGGTTTCAGGACTTTATCGAAAACAGAAGACTGCGACTTCTTGATTGAAAAATCACCAAACTGAGGCTTGAAGTGAAGCATAAAGCTAGGGTTTCCACGGCCAAGGAGATTGAACTCAGCACTCATAAGCAAAGAGCTGGAAACCGGAGAACCGAAGGGCCCAGTCCCGGTCTTGACGATAAGAGAGAAAGGGTTCCAGGTGTCATTAGGACGGTAAGCGAACTTGACGGACGGCCCAGATTCGAAGAAGGTGGAAAGATTTAAAGTGAGCTCCTTGGATTCGCCGGCAACGATGCCTGATTGGAACGGCAAACCCAGAATGCTTAGAGGCACTTTGGCTCTCAACAATGGCCTCTTCTCTTCACGAAACCTCAATGAAGCTTTCATCTTTAATCAAAACCCAAACTTATGTTGCAGGCAGGCGCGGAGTACTGAAGCGTAGGGTTTTGGGATTTATAGGAAGTTGATAATTTTCTTGTTTGGAAAAAAAAAGGAAATTATTTAGCGGAAATTCCGCCAAATTTTGGAAGGATGGGATAAGGATTTGGAGGAAGGTTTCAGTTTCCGAATTTTGTGTTGGATGAATTTTTTGAATTTCAAATTTCAAAACTTTAAGCAGATTCATTATCAAAACACCTATCATTTCTGGGTAAACTACACAAATGGTAATTACTATTTGAGTAATTTTTTATTTTTCTCACTGAAAGTTTTAAAAGTGATAGTCACTAACGTTATTAATTTGTAAAAAAAAATATCATTAACGTTATCGATTTATAACAATATTTTCATTCTACCATTATCTTCATTAAACTAATGATGTGACAAAGTTAAGAAAATGATTAATATTTAGTTTTACCCCTAAACTTTAGCTCAAACATCAAATAGGTCATTGAACAATAATTTTATATTTAATTTATCCCTAAAACTTTATAATTTCATTTTTTTCAAATACCCTACCACCTTCACTATATTCGAACCACCTTCCTTACAAAATAAAAAATGGTGGAGACATAAAAATTGTTTCTTTTTCATTTTTTATATATATATTCTCATTCTCATTTTTATTTTTTAATATTATAGGTTGAGATTGTTACTTCAAGAACACAACAAACGACAAATTACAATATTTTTAAAACAAATGGAGTCAAATGCATCTATTTTACTAAATTAAAGAGACCAAGAGATACAAAAAGCTACAAACAAAACAATGAAGCTTCAAAACTTGTTAAAGAAGATGGAGATGGATAACCATGCATGGAAAAAAATGACGTGTGAGAGCAAAGCAATGGTTGTGTTCGGAACAATAAAGTGAAAACATTACGAGAACAAGTAAATGCCAACAATGAAGTCGAAAGATGTAGAATCATGGTGGGAAGTTGAAGATCAACAAGACAAATAAAGAAAAAATGGTTTACAAACATTGTGATACTCCAAGTATTTGTGTTTTGGACTCTACAAAATTTGTTATATATTGGTTAAGTTAGCAAACAACCATAATGAAAATTAGTAACGCAGAACATTGATCACTAACACAAATGTTTTCGTTTATTGATCGTTTTGGGTCAAATTATTTAGCTAATTTTATGTATTTAGTGATGACATTTCTATGTTAATATTTTATGCCTTATTGTGTAGTTCATAGTTGTCTTGTTATTTTAAAGTTTACTATGGAAACTACTGTTAATTTTAGACCTGCAGTTGGCGACATAATTCTTCCTATCAAACCACCAGTTGTATTTCATGTTCCTTATTGATCACTCAAGTAAGGAGGAAAAGAACATAAAAATGTGCATAAATATAATTGTAACTCCTCGGATCCCGGGTTAGGAGTTTGGGCTAACCCGATATAGACCTTGGATTTATTTTTAAGCTTGTAGGAAGCCTTTAACAAAAAAAAAGTGAAATCAGACTTGGATTTAGCCCAATAGTGGATAAAAAAGGCGTTTTTAGTTTCCAACCAAAATCAGGATGACCAAGGAAGTAATTTCACTGTTTATAAATTCAAAAGATGAAAACCTTTAATTGTAGGTGATATCACGTTGTTCCCTCCCCTCTTTACCTCAACTTATCCTTATCTTCTTCTTTTTCAATGCATCTTATTTCCTATTAGAGTTCAAGTAAAGGTGGAATCTTTGTAGCATTTCAAACCCCAATCAGTAGTTTAGAGGTAAAAAACATAACCATCGTCTTCTAAGCTTCAATTCAAGCCTTCATTTGCAAAGTTTGGTTATGGTTTTCAAGAAACAAGTTTTTTGGGGGTTAAGGATTCCAAGATTTCAGCCCATTTTCAATGATTTCTAGGCTTAAGAAGAGTCTTTAAGATCTTCTAAAGCATTGAACTCAGCTAGTAATCCTTGTATTTGGTTCTTGTCTAGTGAGAGAGGTTGGAGAAAACTCCAAAGTTAGGGAAAGGAAAAGCTTGCCTTGGGTTGAGCTATTGACACTACCGGTAGCTTAGATACTCAGGTAACTCATATCTAACTCAATTATACCATGTATAGCTCATTTAGATGAGATTTAGTACGTTGCATAAGCTTGAAGCATTTTAATGGTATATTCATAATATGGGTGTTTCAACATGTGTTAAGACCTATTTATGACCCCTAATATCAAATAAAACACTTAAACATCAGTTGGGGACCTCAATAGGGCATTTGGGACATAAAGATGGGATTTTTCGTGCCAAAACAGAGCATTTCGTAGCAATGGTGTCGATATTGTTCATCTTTCAGGCAAAAATTAGGCAACTTTAAAAGGGTATTATCGATACCAAGGCAGGAGTATTGATACTCCCCATAGGGGTATCGACACTTGGGTATTTTTTAAAATATCAAACCAAAATTTGGTATTGATACTCAGCCAAGTATCGATACCACAACACCAGAGTATAAAAATTTATCCTAGGGTATTGATACTACCTTAATCAAATAACCACATTATTTGGGGGTATCGATACCAAAGGTTTGGTATCAATACTAAAGGGTCAGTATCAGTACCCACGAATATATTTGGATAAATAATCCAAGGATTAAGGGATCAACTCGAGTTAATCCATATACTTAGTATAACAGCAAATAAGACTTTAAGCGATAATAGTAATTAATATCATAACAGTAGAAACAATAACAACTAGGTTTACATAAAACTAGCCTTGTTTGACATTTGGGAAACAACAAGGACACCCGAGTCTCTCTTAGAAGAATACAATAGTTAGTGGATATCCAAGTCAGTGCCAAGGCACTTCAGTAGCTGATTGGGTATACATGCCCCAAGACTCTACGGAGTAAGTTGGCGGGTGTATGTTTCTGATGCAGCTCTAGATCTTACCCTAGATACTCGAGGGTATCTCAAAAATGCTAGAAGGGTGTGTGAGCTCCAAGATGCAGAACCCTCAGCCACACCATGATGCCTACTCAGTAGTTAAAATTAGTATTTAGTATGTTTTAGACATGTTCCACTAGCATTTTCATGGAATGAATGCATATATTATAATATATTATAGTTATTAGTAAAGCACTGAGCTCGTAAGCTCATCGTTCGGAATGTGTTTCCGTGCGTAGGTTCTTAGGGGTAGAACGTGGGGAGTTATCGTCGCTAGATATTCCAGTGCATCAGCACAAACCAACCGAGACCATCAGAGTACATCTTGAGTCATCTTTAGAGGGCATGTACTATTTATTGACCCTTGTTCGTATTTAGACATATCTTTGAATTCTATTTGGTACTGTATTATTTTGAGATATATTTTAAGAGCTCCCCATTATTTGTAAACCCATATTATCATGTTTTATTTTTATTACTATGGACGGATTATTTTCAGTGATTATAAAACAATTTTTAAAGAAAATTTTTGGGTCATTATTTCGGTAGTCTCGTGTAACATTGTAATCCAGATCTTTGGGTCAAACTGGCTTAGGGTGTTACAAAAATCATAGCTACTCTTATTATTGGACGTTGTTTTCTTGAATTTGACCAATGTTCATTGATTTAGTAAGATTCAAATTATTCACATAGGTTCAAGTTGCATAATTTTCATTAATTCAATGTGTTGAGTTAATCGAATAACGAAATTGGCCAAGAGGGGGGTGAATTGGCAATAAAAAATTTTGTGGAAGCTTTTGCAGAGAATTGAAAGTATTTGCACAGCGATTTACAGTGGTTCGACTTTCTCAAACAAAGTCTACGTCCACTACCTTAGCTATCCACACTAAGGATTTTCCAACAAATTCACTAATTTGTTCTTTCTTTTGAGGCCAAAGAGATAACCTTACAATTCCCTCAAGAGTATACCCCAACTCTTGAGAACACTCTTTTCTCAAAGAGAAGATTACAAATTTGCAAACTTACAAGAAAACCTCACAAGGTAAGATGTTTGCACAATTCTAGAACAAAGAAAAGAACACTCAAAGATGAATACAATTGAGCACAGAAAGTGTTCTTGAAAGCAAAAAGAATATTGAATGAAAATAGGCTTGAAATGCTCAAACTTGAGGTTTGATGCTTTCTCTTTGATTCTCTCTTGATTCTAGTTGCTTGATATTTCTTGTTCTTGATCAATGGCTTCTAAGCTTGCTTAAATACACCTTGGATCACTTCTGAACGTTGGGGATAATTAGAGAAAATATTATAGCCGTTTTAGTGTGAAAACATTTAATAAAACAGCTTGGACAGTGGGGGGAATCGGTTCCCTCTCATAGGGAATCGGTTCCCTAAGTGTAAAATTCAAATATTTCGACCGTTGAACAGGGGGGAATCGGTACCCCCTTGGGGGGAATCGGTTCCCTCTGAGCATTCTGGAAATCTCGGAGCCAAACCATTCAGGGGGGAATCGGTTCCTCCTATGGGGGGGAATCGGTTCCCTCTGAGTAATCTGGAATTTTTGGCTTTGAATTGGTTCGAAATACTTTGTAAAATTATTTTGAAATTGTTTTATGATTAAAACTTATTTTTACACTTAAGTAAGGATCAAAAATGATTTTTGAAATATTTGGAGTAATGTTTTGATATTCGAATAATTATATCGAATATACTTAGAAAATCATTTGGAAAATCTTAAAATCCATTTAACTTAATTTGTTATATCGAAATATTAAAATGTTTCAACAATCTCCCCCTTTTTGATATAACAAAACATTTTAGTAATTTTAAGATTTTTGAAATCAAGTTTTGAAATTACTCCCCCTTACTTTAACACTTCTTCAATTTATCATGTAAAACATTTAACACTTATTCTTCTCCCCCTTTTTGTTAAATCAAAAAGACATTGTAAAACAAGGTTTTGAAAATCATTTAGCCAATTGATTTATTAATTATAAGCTTAAGCTGCTAAGATCACAATCAAAAGAGAGGTTAGCCATTAGTTTCATAAATCAATATTCATAAATAATGTGATATGGCAAAATTGGTCATATTGCTAATGATAATGTAAATGATGCAAAAATGAATAAAACACCAAACATATAAGTTCACACCATTCATATATCCAAAATCCAACAATCCACAAAATCAAACAAATCAAAATGTTGAAACAATATTCATTTTGTTCAAAGTTTTAA